TTTCTAATTTAAATTCTCATACATGTTCACCATCAGTCCAAAAATGTGCCACTTTGCAAAACACACATCGTGTTGTTACCCCCAAAGAGAAGCAAGAATGGAAATCCTTGGAAGAAAAAGAGCAATATATTACTAAGGCTTGCAGTCTGGTCTGATATATGTAAACTAAACTTAATGAGGTACTATAAAAGGAATGTGTTTGCCTGGGGGGTTATATATGTTTATGCATGTATATGTATATACAGACACACGCACTGAGTACAGGTGCTGGGGGACCAACTATGACATGTGCTACAATAGATTTTGTTTATATGCCAATTTTTAAAATTTTAAATTGATAGACTTCCGTGCCAAAAACCTTAAGGCTTTAATTATATTTAGGTTAATTAACATCTACTGTAGGCCTGGGAAAAATGATCTCTTCATCATTTTCACTTTTTCAACACATAGTTACTAAGTGCCTGCAATGGCAAGATACTGTTCTTGGTTCTGACGACACTAAATATACACCAGACAATTCTGCCCTCCACATTCCAGAGAAAGTTTACCTTCTAGAGGCAGACAATTAACAGATAACCACAATGTAAAGGATGTCAGGTGGTAATTAGCTAAAATAGAGCAGGGATGGGGAGGTAGGGAAGGTGGATACAGCTGTAACTTGAATGGGCTGGGAAGGGCTCACCAGGAGGTGAAATCTGAGTAAGGACCTGCAGGAAGTAGGAGAGTGGGCCTTGCAGGCATCTGCAGACAGAAGCTCTCCAGGCAGAAGCAATAGCAAAGCAAAGGCCCCTGAGTGATCAGGAGCAGGCCTTCCATGTTTGAGGGACAGCAGGGAGTCCAGTACACTGAGGAGGGGTCTCCAGACGGTCATTGTAACGACTGCAGATTTTACTCTGAGTGAGATTGGGAACCAGTGGAGGGTTTGAACGGGGAAGCAACTTGGTCTAAATTTACGTTTAGAAGAATGACTCTGTCTGTTAGGTGGGGAATAGATAGATGATTTATGAAGCGGGGTAAATGCAAAGGCCAGGCTGTTGTAATCCCAGTGGTGGCTCAGGCCAGGGCGATTAACAGTGGAAGTGATGACAAGTGGCTGGGGTAGCAGTTGAATTCTGGATATGTTCTGAAAATAGAGCTGACAGAATCTGCTGATGGATTGGATGTGGGACTTGTGAGAAGGAGGGAGGAAGCAAGGAGGAATTCAAGGTTTTTGACCTGAACAACTGGAAAGATTGAAGCTGCCATTTATTGAGTTGAGGAAAACTGTGGGAAAAAAAGGTTTGGGAGGAAAGAAAAGAAGGCTGGAATTGGATATGTTAATTTTGATGGCATATTATCTGTCTGAATGGTAACACTGAATATGTGGTTGAATATATATATATGTCTGGTATTCAGAGAAGAACTCCAGGCTGGAAATTTCAATTTGATAACTACCAGAATATAGGAGGTATTAAAAGCCATGAGACTTTTTGAGATCATTAAGGGAGTGAATTCAGGTAGAAAAGAGAAGAGGTCCAAAGACTGAGCCTGAAATACTCTGAAATCGATTCTGTAGAGGTTGACTGTCGGGGTTGGGGTGCTGAAGGGTTACCAGGGAAAGTTAGGGAGGAGTGGCCAGAAAGGGAGGAGGAAAATCAGGAGGTGATGGTCTGGGAGCCGTGAAAAGAAAATATTTCAAGCATGAGTGAGTGATCAACAGTAGAATACACTCCTAATAGATTTAAGATGAAGAGGGAGAACTTTCAATGGGGTCATTAATAATTTAATAAGAGCAAATTTTAATTGACTTTTTCATTGAAGCATAGTTGATATACAATCTTATATTGGTTTCAAGTATACAACATAGTGATTCAACAGTTATCTACATTATTAAATACTCCAACTAGGATAGCTACTATCTGTCATCATAGAAAGATGTTACAGAACTATTGATTATATTCTCTATGCTGTAGTTTCATCCCCATGACAAATTTATATTATGATTGAGATTTTTTGCTCCTTTATTCCCCTCACCTACTGCATCCACACACCCCAGCCCCTTCGTCTTGGTAACCACCAGTTACTTCTCAGTGTCTCTGAGTCTGCTGCTATTCTGTTCATTTTGTTTTGTTTTGTTTTAAGATTTCACATGTAAGTTAAATCATATGGTATTTGTTTTTCTCTACCTGGCTTATTTCACTTAGCATAATACCCCCTGGGTCCATTCATGTTGTCACAAATGGCAGGATTTCTTTCTTTTTTATGGCTGAATAATATTCCATCGTGTATACATACCACCTCCTCTTCATCCACTCATCTATTGATGGACACTTTGGTTGCCCCCACCTTGGATTTTGTAAATAGTGCAGCAATAAACATAGAGGTGCATTTATCTTTTCAAATCAGGGATTTTATTTTCTTTGGGTAAATTCCTAGGAGTGGAGTTACTGGGATGAATGGTATTTCTATTTTTAGTTTTTTGAGGACCCTCCATACTACTTTCCACAGTGGTGGCACCAATTTACATTTCCACCAACAATGTAGAAGGGTTCCCCTTTTTCCACATCCTGGCCAACACTTGTTATTTCTTAACAATAGAAATTTTGGTGGAATGATGGGAAGAGTCTATTTAGAGTGGATTCATTTAGTCTATTTGAAAATAGTCTATATTGAAAATAGAAATAGAACTAATTTAATCTATTTGAAAGTATCTGAAATAGATAAGGCATTAAAAATATTCTTTATGCAAAAGACCAAAAACATTTTCAGATACTGAGACAAAAAATAATAACTGGCATTACTAACTTGTGCCGGGCACTGGTCAAAAGTGCTGTATGTGCCCAGTTTTATCTGAAAACTTCAGGTAATGACTAAATGATAGAGCTGAGGTGTTGGAAGTATTTTCATAATACCCTTAAGCTGAACAATTATTTTGCTTCCAAAGTATTGCTTTTGGAAATCTAGTCTCACTCTTAAGAAATTAATTAATTATTGGTCTTTGATTTTGCTCATTCCATTTACTTTATGTGTCTTTATTTTCCCCATATCTAGCACTTCTACAATATTGAAAAATTTATAACCAGTTGCTTTAACAGTTCATTTTCAACCGGAAAATGAACCAAAATGTTTCAGTTCATTGAATTAGATTAACATGGCCAATCACATTAAAATGCTATCATAGACAATGCAGTTTTCTAGAGTGATTTCCGTTTTTTGTACGTAAGTTTATTTTGAGGAACTTGATTGCATTTTTGGAAGAACATACTTAAAATAATGACACAGAAAGCCATTGAGCATTTAACATAATTTCATGTTCGTAACCTCTCTGTGAGTTGGTCATTGTTACCTACATATTACACACAAGGAACCAGAGGTTTGGAGAAGGTGAGTAAACTGCCCTAACTCTCAGAGCTTGTAAATGGTAGAGTAAGAACTGACCCCACGTCCTCTGAAATTACATTCCATGCTCTTTCCACTACAACATGCATGTAAATTTAGTTAATTCCAAAGCTCAGCTTGAAATATTATATCTTTCCTCATCTGTGTAAAATTGATTACCCTCATTTGATGCACCATTCCAGCTCTAACAGCTGGTACAACAGGGGCCCACAATTTTAGGAGACACGTATACATTTTTTAATTACACATGTTTTCTCTGGGAAACATGTCAGTGGATTGATTTCTTTTTTTTCTCCAGTAAGATTGGGTCTACCTAGCAGTATTACTGTTTGCTCGGCTATGTGTTTTGTGGTTGCTGATCCTTTCTGAGGATGTTCCTAGGATTGGTGTTGGTTGAGAACTGGAGTGAATATAAATTGTGCCATGGATTCTGGAGCTTGCCACAAAATGGGCCAGACAGTGTGTTATTGTTTCTAGAGTGACTCTTAAAATTTCCCATGCTCCTAAACCTCACATTCCATTCACAAAAATATTACTGGCTTCTTTAAACTAATGTGTTCTTCCTACTTCTACTTTTGAGCCTCTTAATCACAATTCTACTTTATGGCCAGAATGGCTTATTAAAAATGCAACTGTGAGCTTGCAGTTCTTTGATGGCTCCCCACTACATTTAAGGTAAAATACAAACCCCTTATAATAGCCTACAGGGCCTTACCTCACCTGGCCCTTGCCCCACTTGTCCGGTCTTAGCCAGTGCCATTTCACCTCAGCCCACTATGCTCCAGGCCCCAGGCCTTCTGGAAGCTCCTTCAAGTCTTTGACAGACTCAACACTCACATAATACTGCATCCTCTGCCTAGAACACTCTTTCCTCCTTTATCAGTGTAAGTGCTACCTCCTTGGAGACCCTCCCTGACTGTCCAATCTAAGTTAGACTTTCTGTTATCGTTTCTCTAATACTTTGTGCTTTTTCCTTCAAAGCACTTATTAGAATTTGGGATTATATTTTATTTGTATGTTTGTTTAATATCATTTTCCCCTACATGAACAGTAAGCCACATGAAGACAGTCTCTATATCTGCTTTTTCCCCACCACTGTCTGGTTTATAAATAGATGTTCAATACAATTTCTTGAACTAATGAGGACCCTTTCACAAAGTGTATTCTTGTACTGGGATGCCATAGAAATAGGTAGTATTAATTTTTTTACTAATATCCTGAACACTGTGATCATATGATGACTTGGTCAATCCTAGAGATGGAGCCAGGCTGGGAGGTGCACGCATGCAGCATGTAACCATAAAGGTGCTGTGTGGATAGGATGTTAACTGTTTGTTCTTCTGATGGATTTCATCAACTGCCTTAAGAGCAAGTGGTAGAGGAAGAGCACAGAAGGATTGGGTCAAGCATATTTTATCTTATTACATCTAGGTATTCTTAAGTTACGGAGAGCATCATGTAATTGAGAAGCTGAGATGTGTAAGTGGATCAAAGTGTATTTGTTTCAAAGAGATGCATATTCATATCAGTTTTTCAATAATTTCAGTAGGGATAAGTAAGGACGAAACTCAACTATCCTTTATTTCTTTACATTTTGAAATATTCTTTTTCTGTCCTCCCAGGATATGTGATTGGAAGGAAGAGACTGGGAAAAACTATTGTTTTAGCTCCCTCTGCTGGTAGTGAATGAATCTCTTAGCAGAACCCTAACTGATGAAAGAAACGGATGACACCCCCTTACCATTGTTGCTACACTCTCTGTGGTAAAGGTAGGAAGTACATATGCTCATTTTTAAACAGTTTTTAACAGCCATACTGAGATATAGTTTACATGCTCTAAAGTTCACCTGTTTAAAATGTGCAGTTCAACAGGTTTTAGCATAATGATAGAGTTGCACAACCATCACCATAATCTAATTTTAGAACATTTTCATCACTCCCCAAATAAGCCTTCTATCCATTAGCTATTGCTCCTCATTCATCACTCCACTCCCTCCTGTCCCAAGAATCCTGGCAACTACTAACCTCCTTTCCATCTCTACAGATTTACATATTTTGGAAATTTTGTATAAAGGGGATCATATTATAATGTGGTCTTTGGGATTGCCTTATTTCACTTAGCATACTATTTTTGAGTCTCACCCATACTATAGCCTACTTCATTGCTTTTATTGCTGAATAATATTCCCTTTTATAGACTTACCATTTTCTGTTTATTTGTTCTTTAGTTGATGGGTATTTGGGTTGTTTCCACATTTTGGCTATTATGAATAATGCTGCTATGAACATTAGTGGACAAGTTTTTATGCAGACATGTTTTCAGTTCTCTTGTGTATGTAGTTGGGAGTAGAATTGCTGGGTTATATCAACATTTAACATTTTGCAGAACTGCCAAATTGTTTTCCAAAGTAGGTGGGCCACTTTACATTCTCACACACATGCTCTTTTGGATAAATTTTAAATTTAAATAATTTGAATAAAATTTAAAAGTAATACTTAAGTACTTTATGACTTGTTCTTCTGTTTTACTTAAGTACTTTTACATTAACTCCTTTTTTTTATTGTTGCTCAATCGGTCTCTTCTCCATTACACCTGAGAAGTCTCCTTAGTTTCCTCCCCTGTAAAGACAGTGTGAGATGATGTCCAACTTCTCATGCAGCTCAAAAATACAAGGTCAGAATGAGAAACCAAAAATACACCTTTGATGGCTAGCTTCCTCAATGACATTGCTGCAAGACACCCCCTGTAGTCATGTCATCATAGGGGCTTGGAGTGCCGATCCTAGGGGCAGACTAGTTGGATTTATATCCTTGGGCTACCACTTCCTCATTGCATAACCTTGGCCAAAGACTTATTTTCTAAGTGTCATGCATAAAATGGTAGTAGTGATAGCAGTACTCTAATGGGATCATTCTGAAGACTAAATGAGACAGTGCTTCACACAGTGCCTGGTTCCTACACAGGGAGCTTGCAGTAAATATGGGCTGTTATTGAGTCCACATGATTCCTTCTCAGCCTGTTGAACTGGCAGTGGAACTATGAATATGTCTGTAGCTACAGGGATAGCTCCTGGAAGAGTATGGGTACTTCATTACATAGGGACTCATTTAGAAAGTGGGAAGAGCAAAAGAAGAGACAATTCAGATGGCTGCTATTGCAGCAGTGTCTGCATGTGCAGGATCTTCAATCTATATTTGTACCTCCAGAAGCAAAATGCTCAACCTTGGCAAAAATTTGGTAGTATTGAAGGGCTGAAAAATAGGATGAAATAAATATTTTGAATTTCTTTTTAATTTAAATTCCCCTAAAACGTTTTTTTTGAGCGGTGGCTTACCCTATTTACAGTTTTATAAAGCAATGGGCCCTTTTCTTCTTCATAAAATGTTCATATGTGTAAATACCCCAAATCGGCATACACTTTTAGGGTGGTCATGAACTGATGAACTGGAGGCCATAGGAGTCCCTGTTAATAAATGTTGCAATAAACATGAAAGATGATTTATTTATGTAAGCCCCCTTTTAGGCATTCTGAAATTCTTTGTTTTCACTTAAAAAAAATCTTACTCCCATTTTTCTGAGAAAAGTTGGAAAAATGCATGCAAATCACTGTGTGTGAGACATTAAAATAGTCAATTCATTTTTCCCTAGAGTATAAAAAAACACTATACTTGTGGAATTTAGGGAAAGGTAGTATGAGTCTTAAGTTCTTGGCACAGAGAGACAAAAAAAAAAGATATTCAGAGAGCAATGCTGTGGCTCCCCAGTATGTAAAAATTCTGGGGCTCAGCTGTGAGGACAGTAGGCCTGCACTTATGAAAGCCTTGTGCATTTTCTACATGAAAGTAGGAGAGTAGAGTGGGCATTGAGATGGCCTTTCCCCCAAGCCAGAATTGATGGGGGAGGCCACATGGCGGGAAGGGCCGTGGTTCTTTCTGAGGTTTTCCGGAGCCTTGGGAATCTGTGAATTATCCAAAATCTCCCAGATCTTGAAGCTCCATCAGATTCTCTGAGACTGTGAGACAGAAGAGGCAAAGAGCACCTAATGTTTTGAGGTTCATTCCTTGTGGGCTGAGGCGTTCCACTTTATTTCTGGAATTTGCAAGATAGGTTGATATGTAATGATGGCACTTTTCTCATCTTTACATAGATACTCATAATTGAGGACTATAACTCAGGATTTCCACTCTGTTCTGCCCTCTTCTTGGGCTTCCATTCTATTACCTGCTCATTTCCTCTCTGCTTGCTTCCCTCCTCCCCAGACTCCTAGCCCTGGATGTTTGATGTAAGAACTACTCTTCCTGCACCCAGAAACTCTCTTTGGATTCATTGTTGTACTCAGGAGATGTGGCCTAGTTTTAGTGTTTTGCTCTTCTACCCAGACATTTAAAATGAAACTCTGATTTCTAAATCAAGAAGCTTGAATCTCCAATATGGGAGCTGATTGAAAAAGTTGTGTGGCCATTCATTAACTGGATTTTTTTTTTATGACTAAATAGGTTAAATCTACTCTCAGGAAATTGAAAGTTATAAACTACAACTCCAATCTGCTACTGTGAATAAGATGATAACCAAAGATTTTATTTTATTTTTTTTCACAAGGGTTCTTCGGACCTGTAATGCAAGAGGCATTTCAAAGTTTGGATCGCCCTTAAAAAGAAAATGCCAAGTATGTTAAATTGTGCACTTAGTTTTCAATGTGGAAGAATGAATTCCAGATTCAATGAACTAACACAATTCTTCAGAGCTCTAAAGTATATTTGCAATTAAGACACTGGACTTGCTGTGCACTGGCTTATTCTTTCTCCTGGAAAGTTTTGTTTCACTGTGAAACCTAAAATCCTGCCATTGATCTGTACTCACAAAACCCTGTTGATTTAAACAGGACTCCCAGAGGTGGAACAACAGTGAAACCAGGAGACTAGATTTACTGAGCTTGGGTTACAGGAAACATATTTAATAGCAGACAGTTCCTGTTTTCATTGTTTTCCATCAAAGTTCCTACAAAATCAGATTGTCTTTAAATAGATGGTTCTGCCATTGGGACAAGGTTCAGTTTCACATCCCTAAAGAAATAAAGAGTTTTGTGAAAATTCACTCTACCTTGGCCTCATGTATAATAGGCCCAAGTCAAGCCAAAAAGATCAAGGTGGATATCATGCTAAAACACTGATAGAATAACAACACCAAAGATGTGAAACACATACTGTTTTGGACTCTTTATTGTAGCCCTCAATAACCAAGGAATAATTGCTGGTGGACAGAAGTGGAAAGGGATTTCACTTGAGAGCAATCCCATTCTGTCTGTTTTACAAGCATCATACAGGTTGGTCTTAAAGGTTTCTGAGGAAAGAAAGGAGGGGAAGTAGTCTGAGAAAATTATCTATCACCTGTGATTGAGCTCATTGTTTGGAAGGATCCTGGGTTTGGTAGGATTCTTGGAGTTTTGCCCTGAAAGAGATGAACTCCAAGCAAATAGTGATAAAGCTAATGTTAATAATGATGATGATAATGGTGGCTAATGCTTATTGGGTGCCTAGTTTGTGTTTCAGGTCCTGTGCTAAGCACTAATTTCATTTAATGCAATAACAGTTCATAATGTTTGGACTGACTCCTCCACTGTGGATGTCTGCCTAGGGTAATGGTCAAGGGGAGGTGTTATAGGGTCTTTAGTCCTCCTTCCACTATTAATAAAGTGACCTTAAGTAAATTACTCTCTGAGTCTTGGTTCCCTTATCTGTAGAATGGCATGGTAAGACTACCTCATAGGTTTTTGTGTGGATTAAATAATATAGGCCAGTAGCAGAGACAGACAAACCACCCTGCAGGTTGAATACAGTGAGACCCATTAGTGTAGGTGTGGAGCACTGGGAGCAGGCTGCAGGAGGGTCTCCTGCTCTCCCAGGACTTGGGGGATGTGGGACTCCCTGGAGGAACTGCCCTCTAAGTGGACACCTGGGTTATGTATGGGCGTAAGTCAGGAGGCAGTAAGGGAAGGGTGTGCTGGGCTGAAGGATGAGTGTGTTTTGGGGGAATTACATGATGCTGCACCACGGCAAGGTCAGAGAAGGGGAAGTTTGAGAGACAAGCTAGAGAAGTAAGCAAGCCCAGCTCCAAAGGGCTTTGGATGGCATTCAAGTGAGATGGTACTTTCTCCTGAGGTCAGTGGGAGCCTTTGGAGAGTTTAGTAGTTTTAAGAGTGGTATAATTAGATTTTCTTTTTGTGATGTTCACTCTCTTTGAGAGTAAAGATACTGTCTGGGAACAGAGACCCTTTCTTAACCCCGCACTTGGGGAAGTCCATGACCTTGACCTCTCTGGTTTGGGGATTATCATCAAGTGACCTAACAAGTATTTGACTCCTGCCGTTCTAATGTCTGTTACAGTTTCTCATGGCTCTCAATTGTTTCCTTACCTAAGTGGAGTGGTTCAGAGGATGGGTGGGGCTGTGGCCCATATGAATTCATTTTTTTTCTTGAGTTGCCTTATTGTTTGTTTATAGCTTATATACTTAATATATGAAATGCAGCTAAAATTTCGTTTTGAGATTGACCATCAACTGCTTTCTTCTGGATTGCAACCCTTTACTGAAGAGCTGGTAGGTAAAGCGAACCCATTTTCTACTGTTAATCTAAGGAAAACAATAGTAGAGAACATTTGTGGACACCCTGTCTCTTCTTCCTCCCAACCTGACTGCTTCTCATTTGAGTAAAACACTCAATGAAACCCAGTTGCATAAGCAATTTTTTTTTGGGAGGGATGGGAGAGCAATCTGTGATTACACTTACTTTGAGCAGGAAATTGACTCTATTTTATGGTCCCAATCTTCATTGTCTAAGAAAATCATCTTTTAAAATTAGATAATGATATGTTTCTAGGGCATGCCTTATTAAATGATTAGCAATTACTATTTTATAAAGTATTTATCAAAATACCACCAAGGTTAAAATTAGATATGACAAAAATAAAAAGTCACATCGGACTGGTTGCATTTCTGGTGAACCGGCATTTAGCATACTGAAACTAGGTAAATACTTATTTAGTACTCCGTATGTTCTAGACTTGTGGTAAAATTAAAGTTTTAATATACTAACAAATAAAAACCTATGAATAGTACCCAAAGAGTAAACAATCATAATTTAATTTTAAGAGAAACTAAATGTCAGAGGATTGTGATAAAACTGGTAAATTTAAGAATTTCTTAAGAAAGAAAAATAGATACACTGGAAATCAAATATATTTCCTCTGAGTTGTTCATGAAGTGGCTTAGTACTCTTGGAGTGTTTTGTGTTTTACTAATGCTGTTAAATCCCATCTGGTGTTTGTAAAGTCTTTTACTATCCCCTGCTGGGACGGGCAGACATTGGTTTGCATGACTATGTGTTCCCAAAATATTTTTTAAAAGTATCTAGTGGATTTATACCAACTGTAGCAGGACGATAGAAGACCACATTTCCATTATAATGCTTTCAGGAATGGAGGCGAATGTCGTCAGGTCACAAAAGATCCATCAGTTTTACACTGTGTGACATTTGGGGAAGAATGTGAGTGATTAGTGGTTTTCAAAAGTTGTTTGGAATTCAACATTCTGTGTGGATATTGCTTGAAAAATATTTATAGGTTCTGAGTCAGTGAGATGCAATTTATCCCTCCATGGAATTCATTCTAGAATGTGTGGAATATGGTCTTGAAATTTAGTCATTCCAATATATGCCCTGGAAATACCATTATTGTTAATAAACAGGTTGTTCTGCCTCCTTGAGTGATTTTTATAGTATTATTATCACCCTGTATTTCTGGAAATAAACACGATCTTGGTTTGGAGAGAAAATAATGTAATTCAGCAAGAACTGATTGAATGATTTTTATGTTCAAGGCAGTCTGATAGGCATTGGGGGAAATGGAAAAGAATCAGACATAATCCCTATCCTTGGAAAACTTACAGTTTAGGTGAAGAGTCAGATGAAAAAACAAGGTAAGCTAAGTTTCAAAAATGAAACATAATAAAAATTAATGGTAATTCTGAGTAAAGAGTAATTGAACTTGATTGAGGAATGAGAAAAGCACAATGGTGAAAATAAAACAGCCCTTGAAGGATCAGTATAATTTTAATTTAAAGGAGATGGTAGATAGAGGTCAGAATATGCAAAGTAAGTGGTCAATTTAGAAGTCTATTATATTCCAAGATAAACTCATGTAGAAGTCAGAATGTGGTAAGAGGAACTAAAGAACTAGTAACAGCACCAGTGAGCCTAACCACAGGGCTGGACTGAGGGCAGCAAAGCAGGGAGAGGTAGTGTCATTGGTTAGGGAGTAAGCATGTTAAAAGGTTTGTACGTTTGTGTATATTTTTCTGCATATCAAGGTCTGATCACTGATGCTTTCAGCCTATATTGAACCAATTGATCTTCTGCTTCACAATAGTTCTTTCAATGTCTTTTCATTATAATCTCATGTTAATCCATTACCTGCTTTCCAAAAGTGGTTAACTGTCACCTCTGGAAAACATATTGAGGAAAGAGTTGGTTTCTCTGCTCCTCTGACTGGAGTGTGATTTGTGTTGACTTTTATGGATGGAGAAGAGGAATGAAATGAATTATGTGGTAAAAAGGCACTGTACTAAAGGCAGGCATACTGCGTTTTAGACAGTGCCAGCTCTGCCAGTTATGTGACCTGGGTTATGGCATTTCGTCTCTTTGGGCTTTGGTTTTCTCATTTGCATAATTAGCAAGTTGGATGATCTATTCAATGGAACAATCTTTAGTACTAAAACCCAGCTCATGGTAAGACTGTAACGTAATTTGAAATACTCATTTACAATAGTCATTGTATTAGTAGAATGGCAATGGCTGTAAATGATAGTAGAAAGCATATACTGAAAATGACTTTGAAAATGAGGAAAGTTGGTGATAACAGAAGAGAAAGATTCTGAGTCAGGGTGGCTCCAGATTTGGCTAACAATATTTATTACCTCATAGGTTATTACAGTTATCCTTTGAGGTAATGAAGTTACTATACTTACTTCATAGATGAGTCAGCTGAGATGCAGAAAGGTGACTTCATTTGTGCTCACAACAGCAGCAAGCTGGAGGGCAAGGTTTGACCTCCATGGGCTGCCTGACCCCAGACTGTACCCTTAGCTGCTCTACTGCTTCCTTTTGGTTCTGCATTGTTTGCCTCGTCTACTGATTTCAAGATTAAGTGGAAAACCATGTGGAAACTTGAAAATAATAATCACCAGGTTGACTACCAAGTATCAGGTGTGGAGAGAGATGATTCTAGATCTTATGAACTGAGAAGGGTTTCTATGTTTAATATGCAGTGAAAGCTTTTGGACACTTGAGGACGCTTTGTAGACAACATCCTAAGGACCCAGAAACTGCCTTCCCCAGGTTTAACACTCCAGGCAGTACCATGTTTCAGGGCCTCTGAGGAGGGTTGCCTGGCCACTGCTCACACTCCATGTCAGCGACGGCAGGCGACCATGTTGGACTTGTCTTCTAACACTCTGGGCATTGTGAGCCCTGTAGGTCCTTCCCTTTTTCACCCAAGATACCTCTATCCTGTGGATGATGTTCCAAATATTGTACTTTCTAGTTAGGCTTAATGTACTCAATTCCTCATGGGATCCATTTGTCTCAGGTAATTGCCTACCTTCTACATTTAGTTAAATTAAACTTATGTTTTCATTCATTCCTCTGATCCTGTTCTTGATTAATCATAACATTTAACAGAAAAAATTCTAGGATTGTCTCGTGTTTGTTTTTCGTTCTTTTTTTCTGTAAGTCCAGGTTTGTCCATGTTTATATTAGTGCAATTTTTAAAAACATCTTTTTTTTCCCCCCACCAAGTCTTTAACACATACCGGTGCTTAAAATACATTTGATGAAGTTGACTAATAGTCATAGTTGAAATTCAACAAAACAAATTATAAAAAAGAAATACAAAGATTTTCTTGGACTTAATTCCATTTACAGGTTCACAGATAATACTTGCCAAATTCATAGGGTAGACGAAGACAGGGCAACAGTCGAACTCCTGGTGGTGTGCATCAGAGGGCGGAGGGGCAAGGTGTCCTGCGGGCAGGATGGAGAGCAGTCACACTCTTCTCAGCCTTGCAGTAGGTCAGCCTGGAGGAAGGAAATTCTCAGCTATTTATGATAGTGGTAACCTAAGTTTTTAAAATAAATTACTTTCCTTATGTTAAAAATTTTTGCATAATTTTATATTTAGAGTGATTGAAGATATGGTGTCTATGAAATTAGTAATCGGGACACATGTAAATAAAAGTATAGATTTTAATATATTGATGATTAATGACATCTGTAGAAACCTAGTCAGTTGATCTTATGTATTTTTACTTTTAAATCAAGTCATTAAATAGGATATTATTATACCTTAATTCTTTTTTTATTGAAGTATAGTTGATATAAAATCTTATATTGGTTTCAAGTATACAACACAGTGATTCAACAGTTACATGCATTATTAAATCTTCACCCGAACTAGTGCAGATATTGTCAACATAGAAAGATGTTACATAATCATTGACTATATTCTCCATGCTGTACTATCATCCCCACGACCAACTTATATTTTGATTGAGAATTTTTGTGCCCCTTTGTCCCCCCACCTGCCCTATTCACCCACCCCAACCCCTCCCTGATGGTAACCACCA